CGAAGCGATGTTCTAGTTTTGCTCCGCTGTCAGCACCGCGTCTGCAGGCGCACTGCGCAGTGTGACCGAGCCGTCATCACAGTATAGAACGCCTTCAATCTAGCAAGCGGCAATTTGGACATCTTCCGAGGTGAAATAGTTGTATCAAGAGCGCCCTCCACGATCGGAGTCAAATATTGATGAAATGCGCGCAAAACCCCCGCTTCTCCTCCGATTGAAGCGTTGCACACCGTCTTTATGTTCCATTTTGATTTATTTATTTTATTTTTGAAGCCAAGCAACAGATTCTCTCAAAATTTCCCGAGAATTTGCCTTAATCATTTCAAAACAGAAGATAAAAGTAACAAAAAGTAACCCCAGGCGACGTGAAGACTAAATCACAACAATTTTTTTACTTTCGAACTTGAGCAGGTAAATTTTTTCAAAAAAAGAAAAAAAACAAAAAAAACAAAACGAAACGAAAGGTTCCGCGGAGCACATTTTTTGGTCACTCGCCGTACTGGGCCAAACCATTCAAAATCCCTCTCGCGGCTACCTGAGTTTTTTTTTATGGGCCGTTATCACTGCCCCGCTGGACCACGCATCCTCGCTCCCGAAACGACGGGGGGGCCTAGGCTCTTTCGAGCTACGGGGTCCACACTGGTCAGCCCAGACTGACCAGTCACAAGCCGCGCCTTTGCGGGGGCCCCAAATTGCCACCTGACCAGGGGCCATCCTGCCTGGTCCACGACCCCAGCGACCCCGAAGTCGCAACGCCGTGTCGCAGCATCCCTCTCTCCTGACCTAGGACAACCAATGGCCAACTTTGGGGGTTGTCCGGCGAAAATGGCAAAAGGGAGGACGAGAGGAGTCAGGGGCCTTCCCGAAAGGGGAGGCCACGGCACTCTCGCCGCGACTCTCTTAGAGGACACATTTCCTTTTTCGAGAGACTTGCCCAGATTACCGATTTGGTTCAGCCCCATTTTTTTCTTTCTGATCTGATATTTTCCTGAGTTCCCGATTTCGTCACTGTTTTTCTTTGTATTTCCTGAGTTTTTTTTTTTTGTTGCCATATTTTTTTACGTATTATATTCTTATCTGCCATATTTCCGGACTTATATTTTTTTTTATCATCATCCCCCGATTCTCCCCCTTTGCCATCACAATACAAAACTTTTGGGGATCGGCTAAATAGCGTCAACGTTGCAGCCATGATTGAATATTGGCGAACCCTGGCTCTCAACCAATGCCTTCGAATTGACTGTCAACCAAGCCGAGTGGCATAACCTGACTTGCTTTTCTACGATTAAATCTGCCCTCAATCTCCACAAAAACTTCTTCTGGGCCAATCTCTTTGCGCTACATACGTATTATGCTCAACTTGGGAAGTTCAAAAGGGCTTTTGAAATTATAGGCGAGGACAAGTATTATGGTTTTAATAAAGATCTAGGCCCTGTTGCATCAACTAACTACAAGGACTTGGCCGGGGCTTGCATTGTACTCCTTATAAAGGCCGATGGAGAAAAGGGTTTGCACAAATACGAGGGAATGGCAAAGAGTATTCAGAATTTTGCCTATGTTAAATTCTTAATTCGCCAATATCTTAAGGCAACTGTCGCTAAGGCTCAATCCACAGAAATAACAGATGAGAGAAAGGCGGCCATTGCTAATGACTTACTCCCAGTAAGTCCAGGATTCACTCCGAACCACGTATATATTTGCGACAAGAAATACAAAGCAGGTGATGATGATGACTCTGATGATGATTAGATCAGAATAGTGGAGTTTTTGTAAACAAGTACCAAATAGTGCATTTATGGCATTCCCTCAAAATTCTAGTTACCTTCATAGATATAATGGATTATCTACATTACTACTTTATCTTCTTTAGTGCCTTATATACTCTTTTCCAGTCAGTTCCTATTGAGCATAATTGTTTACAAAGTATAGACGTGGAAATATACTACAAACTATATGTATTCCTGTTTTCTTTATCTTTGTACTTTTATAAACACCAGAAATTTTAAGTTCCAAATTATGATGAATAAGTCAGTTTTTGATTCTTGTTTAAAAAAAAAAAAAAAATCAGAGTGTTGACTTTATATCTTAGCTATTGAAATGCGCTTAGACAGCGCATCAAGCCGCTTGTCAGGCCCTGGAGGCTGCTCGACAAGGCCTCCACCGAACGAACTCTAAGTTTGGATAACGAGTGCTCTGATGGAGAGCTCATTGAGTGGGCCATCAGGAGGCTCATGAGGCAGCCTGACGAGCAACTTGATGTGCCACCTAAGAACGTCTATAGTGATATTTTCAATTGCACAGAATTTCTGTCAACCGAGAGAAAAGCTCAACAGCAACATTTTAGTTAAAATATCCTTCTCAAAGATAAGCTGTCTGTAGCAACACAGAATTCTGGGCAATGCGATCATACAGAAGAAATAAAAGAGCATTATTGAGCGCGCAGATAATTGCAATTTCTGATTACAGTGAGGGCCTATTACCCTAAAACCAGGCCTATTGTGGTGTTGGATCCATTGTGTTCACACAACTTGCCTGTTCCCTGCACTTTGCCTACTGGCCGCAAAACCATTTTTTGAACATTAAAAGCTTCTTTTGTTTCCACCAATTCGAATTCAGCTCAATATTTTGTAAAGTTATTGGACCTCAAAACTGGCGAATTTCTTGGAAAAGTACCTGAAGAAATTTTTGAGTTTCGAGATACAATTCGCCCCTTCAAATAGACATGCTACCAACTGTGCTGCACCAGCCTCTGACGGTCATAACCTCCCGGCGCTTCATGTGGTGAACTCCCTGATTTCGCATTCGAAGGGTTTAAAAAAGATTTCGATCATGAATCATGTTCACCAAAGTTAGATAAGGAGCGATCAAACTTTATTTTACTGCTTAACAGCATCAACTGGCAGAAAGTGTTCACTAGTGACTGAATCTCATTGTTTTCTTTGTAAAGTTTCTTGTTTGCTTTGGAGATAGTAACAGACTAATTAGCACATGAGATTGCAATTAAATTCATTGCTAGCCTGACACATGGACACCTAGAGAAGTGCGGCACCTTTTTTAACTTAGGTACGTGATAATTGATGACTCTTTATTTGCTAAATCCTTTTCTGACCTTAAACGTGCTTGGTCACTTCAAAAGAGGAAATGACTTTATGCTGAGGCTGAGATCCATCTATCAAACCTAAGAGAATAGACTCAATTTTGGCGAACTGTTTAAAAGGGGAAGAACAAGAAACTTGCCAGTTAGAAACCTTGGACTTGAAGACTAGGCAACTTGAGGTAACGCATAAAAATACTCCAGTGCATTTCGTAATCGACTGACTTCCAAATTGATAAAAGGATGAATCTGGGCCTGCAAAAGAGGAAAAACATGAGGAATTGTTTTCAAGATTTCACCTTAAAGGCAAAAGAAGGAAAAAAACTTAAAATTGAAAAAAGAAAGTAATATATTCTCGATTTCAGAACAAGAAAATTTTAACTAATAGTTCATTGTTGGCACAATTTAACTGCTTACGTAATAGAATAACTAGAATCATATATGTCCAACTGTATTGTTTTATCTCGGCAACGAATGCTCAATCATGGCTCCTCGGATACTTCTGATACTAATTTAGTACCAATAAGTAATTTGCAGCATTAGGTTCAAGGATGCAAGAAATACCAAGTCTTACTATCCCCTAATCGAGCCAGAAAGAAAGAAAATATTTAAATGGGAAAAGTAATTATACTCTCAGTACAGAGGTTGCAGAAGGAGTCAAAATTTTCCATGCAACTTTTGAGAAACTTTCTTGACAATTTCAAGGATTAATCTTCAAAATGAAAAAAAATAGAGGGTAAACTTTTCAAATGATTCTATTCAATAGTTTTCCCTTCAAAAATTGGATGAGTTTGAGAAGTTAGGCAAGATAGTGCCTAAGCACAAACAGCACTTGTGATACTTTGGCCGGAAAGTGACGAAATGAACTATTGAAATCCTGCCTCCTATCTTCACCCACAAAATTCATTGTAGTCCATTTCACGAAACCTGAGACTTTTTATTCGGCATTAAAATCCGTAAATGACAACACATCAGTCTCGGACTCTGTGACAAACAAAAGATGGTGTCCGGCGAGCGGTCTGGTTACTGAGTCTGAGGCGTTGCCATTTACAGATTTTAATGCCGAATAAAAAGTCTCTGATTTCATGAAATGGACTATAAAAGCATTTGCTTCAGCTTGAATGCTTGTGACAGAACTCTTGGATAATTACCGGGTTGGTTCCCAATCAAAAAGAGAAGAAATTGTGCACTAGCCTAATGCTCAACATGGCAGAAAAATTTCATAGGGCAAAAATAATGGATGCGAAAAAAGGCCAAATAATTTATCTTTGATTTTTTTAGCGTTTTCTTCAGATTTTGCAAATTGAATATTCAGCCTCACGCATGAGAGTGAGCAAGTCAACTTCAGCTACAATGAATAGAAAAATGTACCTACAGACATAGAAATGTCCATTTACATATTAAACTCAAATGAATGGAGTATTCTACCTTCAAAATATGAGTAAAAAAGATCAAGATATAGAGAGGAAAAACACCTTGGACAGGCAGGTAAAATTAAGCAATAATGGAACCTTACTTTCCACACTCTTTTCCTCTTGAAACCTAAAAATGGTCTTTTGTCGTTCAGCCTCCAATTTCAGCTTCATTTTCACAACAAATCAATTCGGATTTGTCTGTTTCAATTAGTGGTGCTTTTTTAGTAAGTGTCATTTTAGACAATTTTTAAGTTCCTAAAGAAACACTCAGTTTGATGTGAAACTGTGCACAAACCTGATTGAACAGGCTAAAGTTACAAATCTGTGTAATTGGTCATTTAGTTAATTATGACGATCAGCATTAATTTATTATTTAAAGTATAAACTATGAACTACAAGAATTTAGAAAAAAACATACGATTGGATACTCAGCAGACTCTGAAAGGGGCTCATATTGGGCTAATGAAAGGCCACAGAGAGTATTACACGTGTGATATACATCAGCAGGTCTGAAACAGGCAGGTACAGGTTAGGAGATACGTATTATGTACACATATGTAAGTTACTATTCACTGTTTTCGTTCCTGAAATCCTAATAAGGTTGTACAAACATATCATGAATATCACAAGATGTCTTCCTGAATCTATTTGACCCACAGGATTCCTTTTTATAGAAAGTATATTATAGAACGGAAGATTATGGAATATCACTGATAAACATGTTTTTTTCTTCTTAAATCTGCCAAAAAACTATCAACAGACTCCAAGTAGTTTTGTAGCTCTGACTCCGAAAATAACCTCCGTTCGTCATGGTCAGTTTGATTTTTTCGGAATTTTTCATAAAAATTGAGCTTTTCTAGCAAAAAGTCGATTTTTCGGAAAATCTGAGCATGCTAGAAAAAACTGAGGTCATTTTTAGATTTGATATCTAAAAATACCATGGAGACCATGTATTGCATGCCTATTGAAATTTACTCTCTGTTCCTAATATATAGGTTTTTTCGGTCAAGTGCTCCATTCTACGCATAAACCACCATGTAAAGCTCATTCATTTGTTTTGCATAGGGAAGGAGGGAAAAAAATTTGTTCAATGGTAACAAGTGGGGTTATTCCCACTCAATTTTGGCCCCTATAGCCATGAATGACCTTCAATTTCTTTGAAAGCTTACCAAAATTCTAAAAAATTGATTTTTCAAAACTGCGTTTTCCAGCTCAGAAAAAAATCCTTTTTGTAGAGACATGACACTCCAAAGGTTTTGGAAGAGAACGGATATCATTTCCAGCTATAGCGGCAAAAATTAAGTGGGTAAAACCCGGCTCAATACCTGAGAATAAATGTTTCCCTTCTTTTCCAACGCAAAACAACTGGATGAGCTTTACATACTGGTACAAGGGCGGAAAGGAACACTTGACTAGAAAAATCTTGAAACAAATTAAAAATAGAAAGGAAATCATGATAGGCATGCAATAAATAATTTCCATTGTATTTGTGGCTGTGGAATCTGAAAATGACCTTGGTTTTTTCTCCATTATCCATAGATTTTCTGGTAAATAGATTTTTTCTCTGAGAGAGCTCGATTTTTAGGGAAAAAGCCGAAAAATCAAACTGATCCAGAAAAATGGAGGTCAATTTTGGAATTAGTGATAAAAATCTAACAGGAATCCCTATTCCAAATTATGGCAAACTTACCCAAGTTGACCAGTAATATTGCTGGGTTATAACTATTCTGAGGAGAAATCAAAGTCACAAGACGAAAATTAAGAACAAAATTTAAAATTTTAAAAAAAATGTTAAAAAATTTACAATTTTAAAACTTTTAAAACACTTTTAAAAAACAATTTAAGAAAACACTCACTTGCATAAAATGTTGCAACATTTACATTTAACATTTGACATGTTAACATTTTATGCAAAAGAGTGTTTTCACAAATTGTTTTTTAAAAGTTTTTTAAAAGTTTTAAAATTTTAATTTTTTAAAAATTTAAATTTTACGTACTCTTGTGTAGTGCTTAAAACTCCTTAACCGTTTTCACGAAAATTAAGAATTAGAGTTACAAATAACACTACGAAGTTTTCAATGCAAAAATAGGAGGGAGAGCTTACAGCCTGGGCAAATGTTTTCAACATGCTTCAGGTGGGCCTCACTTATGATAGGTTCTCATCGTGCCAATTGGAAGAAAAGTTTACACTGACGAATCTTACACACAGATATTTAATATCTGTAGCCTATACAGGTAATAGTGAGATTATAAACCTAAATTGAGATTAATTCACATTAATGTAGCCACACTCACACGGCACTTAAGCAGAGAACGAACTGATTTTCTCTTGTTTGCAGAAGCTAATATTCCTCAAACAAGACAAAGGACCTCTTAGCGCCAAGTTAAAGACACTGTGATAAAAATGTGATCTTTTTTTCCTATGGAAAAGTTTCGGACTTGGGAAAAAAAAAAAAAAAAAAAAAAAAAAAAATTCTGCTTTCCTGAAAGTCTAAGCTGTTCACTCTAAGTTCTCAGAGTCAATGCCAAATAAGTTGCCCACTTTTGAGGTGAAAAATTAGTGCACGATTGGACCAAGTTTATCAGAAAGGAACCAACGAACATCAAGTTGAAACAGAGAAAAAGAGGTTCTAAGTTTTATTCTTCCATAAGACTCAATGTAGAAAGTAAACTTTAAATTAAACCCTCTTTCCACAAACTAATATTTTTTTTGCGACTTAGAGTTTTTGGTAGAGGAAAATATACCACTTCAGGAACTCAAAAACAATCTTAACTCAATGTTTGTGAAAATGTGGGTTGGCTCCTTTCTGATGAACTTGGTCCAATTTTCAGTCTTGTAATGACTATCAACACAAACTGAAGATGACCAATCTTTTGTTGCGTTCTAAAAAATATGTGAACTTATGAAGCATGCAGACTCTAGGACCGAGAAAAGTAAATGCAGTGATACTTATGGGCTTCAGTTTCAAAAAAGAGGAAAAATTGGAAAGATACGGGTGGCTCACAAATTATAATGGGAGTATAGCCACCCCCAGTCTTTTATCAATCCGAAAAACTTTCTTTACAGCTATTCCAAAAAATCTTGGAGGTAACCTAATTTGTAATACTTACACTTTGGGTTTATCACAGAAGCCACCTTTACTTGTTTGACAGCAAATTAAAATGCATTCTTGAAGGGCTTGTGAATGGAAGAGCCAATGTTCATCTAAAATTGAATTTGTTGCTGAAAATTTGCAATAGAAAATTATTGTATGCTCTTAATAGTCATTTAAAGATCAGTAAATAAGACAAACAAACACAAGAAAATAGGTGAACAAGGCTAGAATACATCACATGCATTTGAGGCTTGTCTAATCATTTCCTCATGTTTGTTTTTCGATGAATTTTGGGTTGTGTTCATGCATTATTCTTACCAGTAAATAAGTACGATGTTTAATACCAAAACAAGAAGTGACTTCTTTGTGACTTTGTATGTCATTTTTTGCACTGCTGATGTTTTTGGCAATTTTTGAATGAAATCTATGTGTAATATGTGACCTACGACTGATACATAATATCTAGTCCCTCAGGTGCTTATGGGACATTGGGTGGCAAATTGTCTGCAAATTTTGCTATGCTTGTTGAAAAGTTACTAATCCTTTAATCTTTAAAGTTGATAGATTTTTGCAAATGTAGGTAGTTTCTTTATTTTAAATGCTAATGAATCCGTGTTATTATATTTCTTTTCGATACTTAAAATACAGTGCGCAAAAAGATATATGATCCTGCGTTCCTGTTGTCACGTCAAACATAAATACCACTACTCTAGGGTGTTTAAAATGCTGTTGCTGAATTGTTCCAAAGGGTGATATACACTTGCTGAGCACTTTCATTGAAGGTCATAAAATTTTGGATTAAAAAGTTGAATTAGTGAGATCCTTAAGACATTTGAGGTATTATGCAGTCATACTTTGCATTTTGTAGGGTGAGCATAGATGAAGTGATGGTAGAAGATTCAAGTCGGCAAGGGATCTATTGTCTCGCCTCAATAATTCAGGATTGAAAATAAAAATACGAAACATTACATATGTTGAAAAATTGCTGATTAAGAACCATATTCCAACACAATTTCAATTATTCAGGCATATAGAGACCAAAATGATCCTTTATTTCAAATAATCAATTGTTTAATGAATGAAGATGATAAAATAAGAGGCATTTATTATTGTCCGAGGTTGTGCCAAAAGTCACCAAGTGCTATTTTTTCACACCTCTCCCTCAAACAATAAGGCAAAGGCCTTACTTGGACTGAAAAGAGTTCAAATTCCTGTGATGCCACTGCTGAAGCCATGTATCGATGTGGCCCTGTAAGATAGGTACTCAACTCAGAGGCGAGAGATTTGCGGTTCCAGCTCATGTACAACTGATGAAAAAACCTCCTAAATTCATCTCAATGTAAGGTAGTGCAAAAGTGTTCATGTGAAAGTTCAGGTGTTTCAATACACAATGGGAAAGTGGTTGGCTCACCTTTCTTGGATAAAAATTTTTGAATAAGTGGAAAGATGCCTCCGACCCAAAAAGAGTAACAGCCATCAAATAATTTGTTTGTTCTACCTTGAAATCCACCTTCAAAACTCATCTGCCTCATAACTGCCCACCTCTGAAATCAAAAAGAAAAGAAAAGAAAAAAATGAGCCATTCACTGAATGTTTTTAGGTACAGCATACTTATGCAATATCATAATACACGATATCGTATAATATATCATACATAATGCAGTATCATACTCACATTATATAAAACATGTTATCTATATTATACTTAATATTGTGCTAGTTATTTCAATTTGCGACAGGCATTGGTATTTAAGGTCAAGTTCATGGACTTTTCTTTGGGTTGATATTAATATATATAAAATGACGAGCAAATAATATATTGACTATACCTACTGGTGTGAAAAGAATATATTCCGTACATATTGATGTACCTGCATATTATTTGGAGGAGCTCATCGATATAGAAAATTGAAGAGAACAGATATTAAGGATATAAGGCGAAAGTAAAATCTTACAATCAGAGGACTGTCCCTCTCAGACACCAAGTATTTAGGTTTCCTTTCAGATTTCAAAAGAGACCGAAGGAATAGAGGCTTGTCGTCGCTGGCATGCATTTCAGTAAAATTAAACTTTTGAGCCATATGATAGGATCATAGGAGGAGCTGCACACAAAGTAATATTATCGTAAATTGCACTTAAAGTAAGATTTCAGTTAATTACACGAAAGTTTTTATGTTTCTTCGGAAATAAAACTGTAATAGAGAAATTAATTATTATTCCAATAACTATTGCAAGACAACATTTTGGAAAATAAAATTCTATCTTCCGAAAGGCACTTTGGAAAACAAGCTCATCAATAAATGTACCTCTGCTTGAATGGCCCAAGAGAGTGAATTATCATTCTTACCAGCAGTGCATTAATATCACATAAATGGATAGCATTCAGTAATGCTAGACTCGCAAAGCCACACAGAGTATAGCCTCCATGTGCCTCCAACCCAGGCTTGCCACCGAATCCTCCTTCATAGGTTTGACACCTGCGAAACAAAATGTTAAAAGAGATAAGTAACTTAGATTTCAGGGTGTTAGGATAGGGCAGGGTACACACTATGGGTCACTTAACCATGAACGAACTTTGACTTGCGAATATAGTTTTCTGAAGGAAAATGACGCATAGAACACGATGCGCATATTAAAAACGCGAAAAAGTAACTCAATAACTGAGAAATGCGCAGTTCAAATCGCTCAACTTATACGCAAATTTAAAACGCCCAGGTTTCGTGCCGCACCGAATGATGTCATCCGGCACCAATCAGAAGCGGGCACGGGTTTCCACGACGTCAGTCAAATGTCTATCTACTCTTCGTATATGAGAACAATACTAAAGTCGAAATTATATCTTTTGAATTCAAAACTCGAATCTCATTCATATGTTAGCTGTAATAAACAAGCAACAATACCACATTGGAATAGGTTTTATTTTGGCAAACATCAGAGGAAAATGAGAGAAGACTGCAATATGACTACCGCAGTACATCAACACCGTCAGTTTCCCGCCATTCGGGTGCGTTTGAAATGTCTTGCAGTTTTTAGATTTTTTAAAAGCGGTTTTCTCCGCGATTTCGGCTCCATAAAAAGGCGGAAAAATCACCACGTTATCTACTCACATCACTTCTTCACTTCATCATCTACTCAATATCACTTTCAGAATATTCAATAAAATAAACAAGGTTTAGTGACCCATTATGAGAGGGAATCAATGCAAAAATATTGGGTATTTTCTTTGGAAAATACTTTGAAAACCTACAATCAGTTTACAAAATGCACTCTACTGAATTTCAAAACAAAGCTGAGGCAGTCAAAGGGAGATTTTTGTTGAGTGAATTAAGATAGACCCCTGAAGACAGATCACCAATCACACTTCAGGAGATCACCCTGTATATGCAAGATCTTAAAAGAAATTTTACAGATTTATGAACACTCCTCTGTAAAGAACCTTTATCACAAAAAGTTTTCTCTTAACCCTTTGACTCCTACGCCCGACTTAAGTCGTCCTTCGAAAACCGCGCCCACAGCCTACGCCCGACTATAGTCGTTTCGTAACTTCTTTTTGTATTTGCCGCTCTTGAGCGAGTATCGCTTGTCACAGAGGGTTAAATAGGTAGTGCTATCTGTCGGCAATGAAATGAACTACATGATGGAATAATCGTAAACAAGTTTCGTTGCCGGCGTTCCTCAGCAACACATGATTTTCTTCGCCGAATGTTGTTTACAAATTAGTTGTTGGGTTATGTCTGTAATGCTCACTTTCGGACTGTTTTTATCGCAATTTTTCCGGGTTTTTCGCGGCGGATATTTAGTTTGAGTGTCGGAATGAGTGCTAAAGGTGTCTTGAATGAATTTGGAGGAGAAATAATTGAATGACGGTAAGAAAACTAAAAGCTGTCAATTATGCATGATTTCTCATTCCTAACCTAGGCCAGGGGTGCGCGCTCTGAACCACATACTCAGGAGTCAAAGGGTTAAATATCTGTGTGGCAAGTTGGTGCAAAACAGGATCCTTGAAACTCACGAGGCTAAGCTAGCACACGGAGGAGTAAAAAAGTCCAAGAGATTGCCAAAAAATCACTTTTGTCGGGTTTAAGGTTCAAGTTCACAGTTCAAGGACATCTAAGAAACAATTTTCACTTTCCTGTGGTTCAAATTCTCTTGGACAGAGAGGGGTTAAGAGAGAAGGAAAAGAATACTTACTGAGAAACCCAATGAGCTGTGTTACAAAAAATGTCACTACTCAATGATAAATTGATTAATCTTGCGACAATTAAAGCACAAAATGCCCCTCTGATGTCTTCTTCACCATCTACATTCATTACAAAACTTCCTGACGGTAGCCGGACTTTCCTTAAAAACTGAGCTAATTTTTCCCTGAAAATACAGATTAGAAAAATTGATAAAAACAATATGTACAGATTCGAACTGACAGAAAACATTCTCACAATTTTTTAACATGAAGCATCAATTGTGAGGAGGCATTACTTGACTCTTAATTCTTTCTTCTTCAGAAAACAAGAGGATAAAATTCAACTTGGTTTTTCAATACCCAAGATTTAAAGGGTTGCCTGAATCCAATTCAGGAACTCAAGATTTTAGGGAAAAACCACATGACGGTCTTGGTGGTTCTAAAATGAATTGCAATTCTCATAACCTGCACTATACTCTTCTGTAGCTGAAGTGGCTGATTAAAATGCATGAATACAAAAAAACAGGCTGCAGGCAGGCTCTGCTAACTAGTGACTGGTACCTTAACACCCCTGAAACAATAAACTACAGTCAGTTCAAGCATTTTAGTACTGATTCGATTGGCCAATTCAGCTGCCAGTGAGTATCAAATGCAAACAATTCAATTTTTCTAAGCATAGGAAGGACTTGCATACCTTTAGGCTATTGAGTGCTTTTACCCCATGAGGGTTGAATAGGTACAGGGCAAAACTAAATATTTAGAGCTCTCCAGTACAAAGCTTAAATTTTCATTTCTTCAAGATGAATTTATTTTGTTTTGCTCTGATACTTAAATGGGGGGAAACATCAAATTTTCATCAAGTCACTGTTTATGAAAGCAACCATCAGACAGAAGTACCATTTGTTGCCAGCATCAAATGCAGTTCCAAACCGATTTCATGATCATTCTTTGACCGGAGTCAGAAATAATGTGACAGTTTAAATTAGAATGAGAAAACATGCTTATTAGCAGTTTTGTGAGATTGTCAGATCATTACTTGTGGACAAACAGATTTATTATTACAATGTGGTTTGAATATTGATCTGTTTATCATGCCGAAGTAGGGCTGTTCTATCGGTTGTCGGTAAGCGACCAAAACAATTCTGTTAAGAAAAAGTTACAATAAGAGGGCTCTCACTAATGGCGATCTGAGTTTTTGGAGCTGACGAAAATAAGCTGTTGCCATGTGTAAATCTATTTTTCGCCCTGCCGCGCCAGGCAATCTGACAAACAGACACACAGGGCAACAATGCATTGAGAGCGAGCTCTTAGAATCCGATAAGGCTGACTGTTAATGATATCATTGCCACCAGTATCAGTTTAAGACAATACCAATAGTTTACCGGCAAAAATCTTTCGAACACCCCTGTGCCTAAGCACCTGAAGCAACCCAAGATTAAGAACGCTGACAAGGGCTGGCCCCTGGTTACATTGTGACAAAATTATTCTTCATGCTTGCTCCTAACATACTAAAATTCATGCTGAGAGCAAATTGTGACTTCAAACAATTAGAGACTTTACCTGTCAATGACTTTGTAAGCTTCCTCTGTGCCAACGGTGCACAATGCAAGGACAGCTGCATAAGTAGGTGCTAAATGAGCATTCTGTCCCGGTCCACCCGCAAATCCTCCATCTGGGCATTGACACCTGCACAAAATTAAAGTTATAATGAAGTAAAAATAATTCAACTTTTCAGGGAGTCAAAGAAAAACAATTTTTGTGCTAATTAAATATTATCCTACTTGAAAAAACTTTCAAATCAAAACTTGCACTGACCTGCTTTGTTCTTTAATGATGTTTCAGAATGTTACAATAATGAGCTTTAAATATTTATTTTTCATTTGCTTTTTAACTGGTGATATTAACTTCAAAAAGAGACTAAAAAATATTGACGGAGGCAAGCGCTGCAACAAGACAGAGCTTAGCTTTTCAACTTTCGTTCCAAGTTTTATACTTTTGAAAACTCAAGATACACTTGATTTATAATTCAGGTAGGTGAGTTCTTGTATTACAGCTAAAAACAATTCCTACAGAAAAGAGTTAATTGCAGCAACATTTGAATGATAAGTCTTAATTATAGGCTTCATAACTCCCACTATACTATGTTTCATTATGATTACATTCAGATATCTACCGCGCTGATTCCTATGATTTTGAGCTGTTGACGAGTAAAAATTCCTTTATGAGGATTTCCTAATTTCTTTTATGTTCAAATTATTCAACGATGACCCAGATTTTTCACTGTTGCAAAGCGCAGGACGTTTGAAGGTATCAACCATGCAGCAGCAAGGAGAGGATTTAATCATTTTAAATAATGACTATCATCCTTCATCCTAGTTATTTGTTGTAATTTTCTCCCTATAACTTTCCCCAAAAATAGAGGGAGTAAAATTTTATGACAAAAAATGATAAGTTAAAAACTTACAGGGCTAAATATTGAGCAACTTCTGATTTTTCCTTGGGAGTTAGCTCCTCTCGCAATATGGTGAGTGAGTGACATATCCAGTATAGTAACCAAGGCTGACTGGCATCTAAACACTGAAACAATTTGAGATGCATCCATTTTTATTTCAAATGATCAAAATATTGAAAGAAGAAGCAAAAGAGGAGAAAAACAACAGATCCAATAGGTAGGTACAAAATGTTAGTACAAAGGTACAAGGTACAAAATGTAAAGCAGGATGTGTCATAATTCAACAACCTTTGAAAACCTTAGCTTTGCTTTGTTTACCAAACTCAAGTAGGTCTCTTCAGAGTGAAGGTAAAGTTTGAACCCCTTGCAATACTGCCGTGCTAAGGAAAAGTGCAATATGAGCATTTGAGAGTTGCCAAATTTCCTCCAGTAAAATGTTAATATTTCAGGAAAGTTATGAATATTTCCCCTTGAAAGTTTCAGATACTATAGATTAAATAGTGATTAAAATCCTGTAAAAAATTGGTAGAAAAATATTCACAAGTTTCTGAGGAATTCCGAATTACATCAAAAGTAATTTGGCGATGCCTGAAGGCTCATACGGCGTTCTTTCTTAGCATGGCAGAATAGCACTGCTTGTTAGCACCATCTTCTTTGTAGGGAGAGAAAAATTCCATGGGATTAAATGGGAACAAAACAGGTTGTACAGCGGAAATGCACTTTCAGAGCATAAAATCTAGTCAAAAGGACCAAATTTTATGTTTCACATTAAAAGAGCATCTGAAGAACAAATAAGAACTAAAAAATTGCATTTAGGACAAAGAAAGCAGAATGAGGAGTCTCTGTAGAGAATTTTTAGAGTGCCCATTTTATTTTAAGTGCAAGTAGTTAATTTTTGTAACAATGCACTAAAAGAATCGAATACAGTTCCTAGGAGCTAAAGAATCATTATAAACTGTATCCTTAATACATGCACAACCAGTGTTCGAAACACACACCGGCCACACTGCAATTTGCCAGTAAGAAATCGCTTTTGGCCGCTAAGAAATGAAACTGGCAGCGAAGTCTTGGCCGCTAAAAACATCATTGTTTAACTCCGTTTTTGGGATTTTTCAGTGTATTCTGCAAGGTGCCGTATTGTGTTTTCAATTCTTTCCTGTCATCTTCGTCAAGTTTCGTGACACAACGGGTCTTGGCGTAACATTGCCGGGTGGTTTTATATGTGGTTTCAACATATACGGCATTGGGATATTCAATGGGGTATTCCTAAATCAAGACATTTCGAAAGAGATATTTTTCATTTGGGCTCCTGAGAAATCAAAGATGGCCCCTAAGAAAAAAAGTTGCTGGCCAATGGCTTCTGAGACTTCAAACAGAGTTTCGGACACTGTGCACGACCTATCTGCTTTCATGACTTTCGAAGGCTTGTGTTGAGTCGAGAGCATGGCATCACAAAGGCAGCATCACTATGACCCCTATTCCGCTCCTTGGATCCAAAATGTACTTTTCCTTTTTTAAACCTTTAAATCCTTTCTTGGAATCAATTTTTTTATCCTTTTTAATTGTAGGTATAACCTGAAACTTCACCGTTTGGACCGTGTTTCACTTAAAAGACACATTTCCGCAGAGCTACCTGTTGTAATCCTAGTTAATTACCTAGATGCAATGTATCTTGAAAAAAAAAAGTACTAGCAAGAAACCTGAGGATCAATGTAGGGGGTTTAGGTTTTAATCTTTGCATACATTCTACAGGAGCCGAGTGGGTTTGGAAAAAACAGCAAGGAGCAACGGTTTCCAAAAGACAATTGACACACAAGGTGCAAAAGATACTAAGATCAGGGGTTTGCGTTTAGAGGTTAGTGGTCTCTAAAATGCCAATCCAACTTAGTTTCTCTCCCAGCCGTCACAAAAAAAATTAAAAATCATTACCTAAGTAAAAACCCAGAATAATCTACAAAGAGAGGAAGGAGAAAGGGTAATCGGGGGTTGGGAAGGGGATAAAGTGGTTTTTTTTCCCTTCTTTCTTTCTTAGTTCTTTCTTTTTTTTCTCTTCTTGTTCCGCCTTTCTTTCATTTTCTAATGATTAGTGAACATTTATTTTTCAATTAATAAGACCCCACCCGACACAAGGTCCAATCTTAGTGGGTGGTTTTATTATGTTACTTTTCTTTTGTTCGCACTTATTTAAATAATCTTGTTATGCTGTAAAAAGGAGCATAATAAAGTTTCATCTATCTATCTACCTAAAAGTCAAATTTGAAATGGCATCTTCATAGATAGTACAAACTCACTTCATATTTGGATGGAAGTCCTCGGAGATATTTTCTGAGAAATAAGATGTGTTTTTGAGCGTCTAATTTTGGCTCCTCAGGGTCTACTTCCATTGCCAAATGAAATAACTGGTATAGGTGACGTACCCTCTCCTCCACTTCTTCCTGAAAAAAAAAAAAAAAAAAAAAATGAAAGTATTGAGACTGAAGAGAATCAAATCAAGTGAGGGGTTCTGATATACATGGTGTAAATGGCTGAAAAGCACATGTAAAAATGATTTGAAGAAATCATTAAATAGGTACTTCATAATTAACAAAATGAGGTTCCTTGATAGGGAGAGTTCAGATGTTGGCATCTATTCCAGATTGGTTTGACCATCCTAGGCTTTGAAAAGATGCTCAAGATTAAAAAAATGGTATGAATTGTAAGCACTGAAAATTATTGAAATTGTTTCGGTGATTGATTGCTGAATCATGGATTTTATGCAAATTGAAGATTTAGAGAGGTTCCCTCAATTGTAAATTAATTTTATACATTAAGGTAACCTATAGTGGTTGACGTACATACTGTACTTGCATGGCTGGAAATGGACTATTAAGAGACTGTCCTGATCATTCAAAATCATCCTCACTTAAATTCTCACTAATTTCCTTTCTCCTGGATGTTGATTGATTTTTTGAAGCATTTAGATACTCACCATGAATTTACAAAAAGCAAGATTAAATTAGTAGGTTTTTGGGAGATTCACCTGCCTTAGACGCACTACAATGTTTCGCTTCTGTTTCTGCCCACTTCAAATTGTGAGACCAATTAAAATATAAAACGAATAAGAATAGGTATAAAGCACCTCTGAGACAAGGCGGATGAAGAATGGTGGTCGCATTTCGTATCCTCTGGACATCACACGGTATCCGGTACATGGGACGGCCGAGGCCAGGGGGCCGGCTCAACCTCGAATTGCACGGCAAAACCTGTGCCCTCTTGACATCACAACGCTTCAAGATGGCAGCCAAAATTGAAATGTGACCATCATTCTTTATCCACCATGTCTTTTAGATTAAAGACAGTGATGTAACGTAACAGTGATGTTAACGTAACATCATTCCCATTGGAGCTTGTTTCTTTGAAACAGAAATAGGTACTCACCGCAAAGGAAAAAACTCAATATGAGAAAGTTTTCCTTTTAGAGTGACCTCATTTGGGGCTAACCTGGTTAACCAATTAGAGAAACGGCTGCATTTTGGATCTGCTTGGACCCATCATGAGTACGATGCAGCCTCCTCATTTTCACTTTACTAACTTGAAGAGATCCTTGAAGCCACTGTAGCAAGTGAACATGCCCCCATCAATAACAGTGATGTGTATAATTTGCTCACTGGACAGCCATGAGTTTGCTAACTGCCGCAGGTGCTCACCTTAATCTTAGTGCAATTTTTGAGACTGCCTCTTTTCCTCTCATTGATCTAACAACCCAACTTATAAAAAGTATAAACTTAGAGTGGGCTTGGGCATTGAGCTATTGGCGCAATGCTGTTTGGGAAATGGCTCAGGACATAGACAGTCCAAAATGCAAATTTCTGCAAAAACAGCTTGAGCACGTACAAGCTGGTTTCAGGCTTATACCTTAACTGCAAGATAGAACCTTGGCTGAAATTCGACTGCTGACTTTTTTTCAAGTCCACGCGACGAAAGTCTACTACTTTTGAGAAGAGAAAAGAAGCCCTGTCCGTAGATCCTAATTGTAAACAACTACAACAACCTGATTTTCACGTCAAAAGTTGCCTAATACTCACTGAAAAATCATTTGTGAATAGATGCACCTATTACCTGTTCTTCAGAAGTTTTCGTGGGAAATCCTTCATCATTGAATCTAGTTCGCAGCAATGCCAGACCAAAATCGTGTTCCATCAGGAGACTAATCAAGCAAGTAAAGAGAAAACTACTGAAAATATGGCTGTGGAAAAATTTACCCAGCGATGAAAATGAAAGAAAAGTACAGAAAATTGAGAAAAACAATTACTTTCAACTTGCACGAAGCACGACACGAATTGAGCACGAACCACGCCAATTTTCCATGCAATTTTCTAGGTTATGACGATTGATGATTGATGATTGATGAATGATGGATGGTTCCGTTCCGTTTTGCGAGGAAGCCGCCATCAAGAACCCGCGAATACTTGACAATTCAAATTTTTTTCAAATTTTTAGCGGGAATAATGAGGAGCGCTTTGGGATTTAATTTAATGCACAATTTAACGTATCACGTATCGTATTTGTGATATTCTCATCGACCAGATATTAAGATACTCGACTGATGCTTTCTAAATGTGTAAAAAACTATTATGACAAGAAAATCACAGGAATATTGCTAATAACTAGAAGCACACTTTGAAGCAGCCCTATACATTAAGGAGTCAAACTTCAACAAACAGTGAAGATCAGAGTGAATTCAGCCTGAAATTCGAAATGGAGCTGCTTCAGCGATGAAAAAAGCAGAATTATCTTCGTATCCGATACGATCCATGTCTTTAAACGGTAGAATTACACATCTTTCCTTGGCTGCTCGCAGTAGATGCATCGGCGCAGCGGCGCTCGTAATACTTCATGCTGCATCTGTTGCATACATCACAGGGGCTGTTCCCAGTTTTTATTTTGCCTTCTCTTCGTGCCAGTTAGTTTTAGTTTTAAAGATTATTCCCATGGTCTCTTCTTTTGTTTTGGAGCCTTCTGTCTCTGATGTTAATTCTTATAACGTCTTTTTCCCCTTTCTGGTGTTATTCAAGTCTGTATCCCAGGCTCTCTGAGCTAATAGGACGCTGCCAACCCCGGCTCCTGTAAGTACATCAATTCAATGAAGGACATGAGAAAATTAAATTAAAATAAAAAATTAAATGAGTTTAAAAATCTTACGGAAGAAAGCTCGTAAAAAAGTCGTGAATAATCAGCCTTTAATAATTCGACGTAAGATATGTGTGAATAAAGAATAGAATGAGAAAATTTATGGAGTGAACTGAATTTCATGCATGTTCTTCTCGAAAAAATTCCACATGACATTACCTCCATTACCATCCAAAACCTACTTTTTAGTTTACTTTCTTACTTCCTTTAAAAGTTTTTTTTTATTATTTCTTTTTAAGTACATATCTTTTTTTGCTGTACCTTTCGCGTCGTTTGCTACGATGGATCTTTGACATGGGCGAAAATACGGGGGGAGGGGAGAGGGCCGGTCTCCCACAATTCTGCTCGGCCCCTCCCAAAAAATGTCAAGGATCCAAAGCTACTAATTAGTTTTGAGGTAAAAGGCATAGGGAATGTAATAAATATGAGGTTAATCTTAATATAGTCGATCAAAGATGTCAGAAGATAAAAATTCCTCCAAAGCTGCCATTTATTTTGTTTCGTCTTTCTTTTCTTACATTTTAGCGCAAAATTCCCGCCATCTGTAATATTTAAACCATTTTTGTCATTGAGAATGGCTTAAAATTGCTCTCGAGACATTCTAATTTTCAAAAATTTTCCGGGGGGGCTCCCCAGATCCCCCTCTGCAGCTGGGGAAGTTCCTTAGATCCCCTTAACCCCGGTTCTGTAACCTCCTATCCCCCCCCCACAGAAAATTCCTAGTTCCGCCCATGATCTTTGACTCTCGCAAGATCTTCATTTGAAGGGCTTGGAGGACAAGACACGTAAATATAGTTTTTTTTAATGGTGTGATTTTAATGATTTCAATTCGATAAAAAAGCTATCATGCAATAGTCTTTTCCCCGATTTTTAGCTCCTGAACGAATATTTATCTTGACAGCATATCATAAAGTACGGGATTTTTTAAAATGTTACCATTCAAACATATAAGCATCATTTGAGGAGGAAGTAACGAGAGGAGTTCGTAGACATGATGTGTTATTTTCCCTAAAATATCGAAAAATCGTGAGCTCTTCGCCATAAATTTACAAAATTTCGTAAACTGTCCAAGTTTGGCTATCTGCCTAGGCGCTCGATAAAATGCCTTATTTGACTCATCGCCTGCGACATATCTATTCTCGGAGGGACCAGGTGCTTCGACAAGAATCGATTATTTAACACACCTATAAACGGAGGAAAGTCAGTGTTGCCAAACTGCTGGATCCGCCTCTACTCCCGACTCCTCAACAATTTCGTAAGTAGAAGCGAGGGGAATAGAACCGGGATCACCAACCTCCTCCCGCGGTAAAGGAGTTGCTGTCGGTACGGGACAGAAGGGAGGAAGAGGGAGTGAAGGGCGAAGCAGCCCTCGACGAGGGGCGGGGGGGCGGGGGGGCTAACGCAGGATGAGCAAAAGCGATACACGAGCACGAAGCAACGGGATCGGGATCAGGAACATGGAACATGAAATATGCACGAGATGTCAGTCAACTGTCATAAAATTACCTCCATCGAGTCTGCCTCCGTGTAGTTTTGACTCGGCGAAACTACGGCCGAGTATTGCGCTCATGCCTTCGACTCAAATTAAATTTAATAACAGGAAATTAAAGTTATATTTGATCATTCGTGGAACTTCCTCGGTCCTCCGAGCGTCTGCCGCTTCGCCACCAGGAAAGTCCGCGAACTTTGTCTATTGCGGAGACGGACTCCAGGAGTTCGTCCGTTGTCCCTCTGACGTAAGGGCGTATCCTAATTTCCACGTGAGCCGTGTATAATATA